TTCATCATAGCCACTTTTTCTCCCCTACAAGATGCTACCATCAAATTTAAACTCTGACGTTTCGTCTTCAGGCCATCATCAACTTTTTTTTTTAAATACGACCCTGGAGTTTTTATTTCAGATTTTTAGAGCTTCTGATATCCCAAAACCTATGACACTATAAAAAAGTTTTTTTTACTTTTTAGTAATTTCCTACCAACATTCTTTTCTCTGTCTCTCTCTAACAGATTTAATTCTTATGGAAAGTGCCAATAATGTAAATTTTTCGAATAAGTGCAATACGTCATTGGTTTTGGGACATCAGAAGCTTATAAAATCTAAAATGAAGAATCAAGGTTCGTATTTAGAAAAATGAGGGTGATGATGGTGAACTAAAGACGAAACGTCAGATCTTAAATTTGATGGTAGCATCTTGTAGGGGGGAAAAAGTGGCTACGATGAAGTGATATTTTTTTTTGAAATATCACTTCAAATAAAGTCAGGAAAAAATAAAAACAATTTTGTGAAATTTCGGTTTTTTCCGGATATCTCCGGAAGTATTCGGAATATCCTAAATATCGAAGCAGCATTTTGTTAAGCATCAATTTACGCAACTTTGCCCCAATTCAACCAACCCTGGTATCTCTCACCGTTTCCGAGATCCCAATGATGTGGCTCGAATTTGAAACACCCTGTACAATAAGAACAATCACTTTTTACATAGGTACATGTGTCCGCAAACGTATCGTTAAGAAATTACAGTGTTGAAATTTTCGAAAAATTTTGACTTTTTACCTTTAGATTTCAAATGCCTTGAGCGATTTGTTCAAACTTTCAGAGAGTGTTTGCGATGTTCTAAAGTGTCTTTCTAAAAAATCCGTTTGAGTTCCACTTTTCCAGCACCGGACCTAGAGCGGCTCTTATTTTTTTAAGATAAAAGTGGTACCTCTGGGATTTTTGACGAATTGAAAATTATTTTTTAGTTCCTCGTTTAAGTTTAAACAGAAAAGGTATTTTTTTTTGTTCGATGCGACGTTTACGTTGTTCGATACACTCCACTCTGTTAAAAAAATAAGAGTCGCTCTAGGTTTGGTCCTGGAAAAGTGGAACTCACGCGGATTTTTTAGAAAGAAGCTTAAGGACATCGCAAACACTCTCTGAAAATTTGGACAAAATCGCTCAAGGCATTTTGAATCTAAAGACAAAAAGTCAAAATTTAAATTACATTCCTTGGAAGCTGATCTTATTGCGAAACAAGCGAAGCTTGATTTTTTGGATAAAGAATCGATGTGCCGTGCGAGTTCCATTTCAGAGAGTTCTCTATAATAAGTCCCAAAAAATTTACAGAATCAACGACGTCAATAATGTTGGTGTTATTCAGTACAATTAATAGGTTGCACAAAATTTTATATGATGCAGAGAAGATTAGAGTCGCACCATGATTTAATGGCAAATAAGTCGTTGGATAATGGCTCTATGAAGAACTACAATATCCGGGTTGCTCCAAGTGAAACTAGTATCATCAGCAAAAAGACAGATTTTACCTCTGATGTCTTGACTAGCAATGTCGTTGATAAAGATAAAAAATAATGTTGATGTTCGGACCACTTATCTAAAAAATAAATGGATAAACAATCGTACGGCTTGATTGGCCAAACTTGTGCGAAAATTTGGGGTCAATATTCTACGCTTGTGTAACGGAACAGCCTAACGCCTGCGCAGTGTCTTACTTTCGAACAACTGTTCTAAATTTTGAAATATCGTTCATTTTCATTGGCTATATTTTGCGCACGCACAGTACATGTATCTACTGCGCGCGCTCACAGCTGTCCCAGTTGTCTACATTATGACCTCGTAAATTAGCAGCATTAGAAGCGTTCTTTGTTTATCCATTTATTTTTGAGATCAGTGGTTTGGACCCCGTGGATCTCCACATTCTATTGGCTTGCATGAAGACATCGTCGAATCAACCCTCACAAGCTGTTTCCTGTTGTTAAGATACGACTACTACTTGAACCAAAATCACAGGAAATTGATGCAGATTGTTGAGCTAGAGGAGACATTATTGAAGACAGAGACATAGCATTAATAGTGCATCTGTTGGTTAAAAATCCAAATTGGTGACCAGTTAGTATGGTATATTTATGCAGAAATGATAGAAGCTCTTTTTTACTCAATCTTTCAATGATTTGGGATAAAGTGAGAAGTACAATTGGACGATAGTTTAAAGCTTGGTGCTTATTTCCACCCTTGTACAGAGGAATAATTATAGCCATCTTGAGGCAGTCTGGGAACACTCTGCTCCTTGTTGGAAAGATTTATTTGTTAAGGCAGTGAGAAGATTGAATGTACGTGCCATTCTTTTGCCCATGTTTTGGATCACGCTGAGTTTTAGGAAAACATCTTCTAAGCTGTCCGCTCCGAATTGCGTTATCAGTTGTTCGGGTGATTCTTCTGCTAGGAAGTAGCCGCCTCTCATCAAACCATTCTGACAAAGTTAATTTGAATATGAAACTACTTTATTTTTAAAAATTGCCAAGCAATAAATCACCCAATTCCATGGAAATATTTGATAGGTAGTTAATATTTAAAAATATTTTCGAAGTGAGTCCATCAGTCCCAGGTGACAATTTCTTTTTGATTTCTAATTGTGCTGCAAAGTTCTAATGTTTCTACAGGTGTTAGGAAGAAACTGTGTAAATTCATATTGGTATTAGAAAGATATGAAAGAGGATCGCGAGAAGGAGCTATAGCAGTCATCAATTTTTTTGTCACATTTACAAAGTAATCATTTAGATTATCAGGGGAGGTAGAGGTTATACTGAACAATATATAATGATCAATAATAATTCGTCCTATATATTGTGCCTGGTTGGCCATATTTATGTACTCATCAAAAAAGTCTAGGGAACAAGAAATATTCGCCTTTTTATTTTTAGACATAATAACTTTTTTTTAAAAAGATACCATATGGGTATTTGTTGAACAAATCTTGTAAAATTTATCATATCGCTTTTCCAGCAGGCTTTAACAAAATTTAAAAATCTTTTAAAAGTATATTTTGTTCAATTTATAAATGTATTCAGTGTGTATTTACTTATTTTTGATTGTTGATTTCAACAACTAAAAACGGCATGTTCTCAAAATAGATCAATTATACACTCTTTTCTATGTGACAACAGACACCACAGCGGACTCTTCTGTCATTTCAACATTTGACTATTCCATTATCAAGAGTAACAATATAATATGAGACCACATAATGTCTGCCCAGCGAGTCTGTGTCTACGGGGCAACGGTAAGGGGAATGCAGTTTTAAAAAAAAAATGGCTGATTTCATTCATAAAATACCCAGCTGCGTGCGGAACTTTTTGGAAGTGTTATCGTATTGCAACTCGTACACGAAAATCAGCAATGACCAAATCTCCGCCACTGGATATGTCAATATAAATCGATATTCCAAGATGGGAGGATAAAATGACGTGAGCCCTGGCCAATAGCGAGACGTAAGGTGACGTTAGCTCTTGACAACCGTATGGTTCCCCATGACAACGGCAATCCTGCCAAAAACTCCACCAATCAGGTTCATCCAGGACGGATGCTTGCCAAATTATCAAAAGCTGATGGTATCTTTAGAAAATGTTTATTTTTTATAATAGACCAAACTGAAGAAATCAGGATTAAAATAAAGATAGGTCTAACAACCACGTTAAAATATTTAGCGTTTTATTATTGTTATCAATATTTTGTTATCAAAAAATGGATTTTCAAATTAACTATACTTCATGCTTAGTATTTTCGCTTTTTTATAATTAAACGTGGCAACATGGCACATTTACGTCCGAATTCCTTCCGTAGACTCAGATCCGCTGGGCAAACAATAGATACAAAAACATAAAGACAGGTTTGCCACATTTTTACACTTATATTAACATTTATTCATTCAATGACAACAACGATTAATGATGTTGATAATGAAACAGGTATGCATATAATGGACATGGGCGTCTGTGTGAACGCATATTGGGGTCATTAATAAGTATTACGTTGCTACCTAATAACATTAAAAATAGTGAATCACAATACCTATATTATACAGGGTGTTTTTTAAGTTGGGGGTTTCCTTTTAAGACGACATAGGACTTGAAAAAATAAGCAAATTTTCAAAAACCATTTTCTGAAATATTCAAAAATAAAGGAGACATGGTCATTTCAAATATCAAAAATCAAATAGGTACCTGTGCAAATACTGCCTGTAATATGAAAATAAGCTAAAATTTTTACAAAAAGTGTAGCGGCTATTCATCCCAGTAAAGCCTACAATCCGTCCGAAATAGCTAAGAACGCATTCGAAGAAAAGGAGATACACGATAAGCACGACTGATCAGCTTGATAATCCATGTACTTCCTTCGTAGCCGAAACACACCAGAATACTCGACTTTCGTACCACTCCACGGCATAGCGGTTTGTGTATTGAATAAAACTTTTGCACAGGGATCTATTTGATTTCCTTTAATAAGGTGTTTGAATTTCCATCATCTTTCAGATTTTATACAATTTTTTTCAGAATTATACCTTTTTTTTATTAAGTAAGGTTTTTGAACATGGACTTATTTGAGTTTCGAGATTATTTAGAATGACCATATCTCTTTTATTTTTGAGTTTTCGAAAAAAGCTTATTTGATAAATTTGTTTATTTTTTTAAGTTCTATGTCATCTCAAAAGAAAAACCCCAAGTATATACGTTCCACAAAAATATTACCATATGGCAATATAAATTATATTATTTTGGCTCGTAGTTTTTTATCATAAGGTTTTCTGTCACATCCAGCTGAATCATTGATTTTCATTCATGCGGAGGTGTATATTATAGCTAACTAAACAATTTCCCAAAGTGATTAATCATGATATAACTAGTATATTTAACAAACCCTGAAGAATAGTATTTTTTTTTGTTAATTTTATTTTGAATTTTACCCAAATAATCAAATTATTATTTAATTTGATATCATTATTTTAGTGAACTTTCTTCCTGCGTTGAGTCTCTCCAAAGCATTTTGTATCCATTCACATGGTACCATACGTTCATTCCAATTCTACCACAATCTTTATGGGTCATTGTTGATTGTCCCACCCCATTTGTGTGTGGGGTATTGTCACAAGATGCTATTAAAGACAGGCATATAGTGAATGTAAGCCAATATTTTTATTACATAATTTAATTTGATTTTCTAGTACCTAATAAAAATTCACAGGGAATGGTTGTTAATTTGGATACACGAACAGTATTAGTAGAAGAAGGCGACGAAATGAAAATTTTGGGTAGTAGTTTACATAAGGTTTGGAGGCAGTTTATCACATTGGCCAACATCTCAAAACCTAGACAGTATGCCTCTTCAGTATTTCTAGCTGATGCTTATTTAAATGTGCTAATATGCTGTTTTAGACGTTACAAGCAATATATTGTTGATGGAAAATTTTTGGTAAGCACAAAAAATTATTTGTATTTAATGTATTAGATAAATAAATGAATAGGTAATTTTTTTTATTGGTACCTTATTTTGCATGTTTAAAACAACGCCCCAGTGTGTTAAAATCCAACTCTCAAAAACGCGTGTGTTTTGAAAAGTTAGGTACCATGGGAAAATCAACAACCTGAAAAACGTGGAGTCTAAAGGCCTTTACGGAAACACTGATTCAATTAACCTGATCAGCAGCTGATGTGTCTTTTTTCAATCATATTCGTTAAAGAAAAATTAAAAACTAACAGCTGTGTTTAGGGGTCCGATTTTCGAATATTTTCGTATACGAAATTTGGTACGATTTCGAATGCTCCCCATTTAATTTACATTGCTGTCAGTCAAATTTCGTGTACGATATGTACTCGAATGGTTTTGAAAATCGCACCCCAGGTTAATGAGATTTTCCGTAAAGGCCTTTAATGTCAACTTCCTAATTATTGATCCGGCACGAGAACCTTCTAACGTCAAATCTTTCAAAATCTTTATTCAAATATTCAAAAATTCAAATACCTAAATATTTATGATTTCAAAGTGTACCAATAAAAAAAATATATGGAGTGTGTTTTTATTAGACCAATTAAAGGTATATTGAATTTTGTTAATGGCAATAATAATTTTTGCAGAAAGACAAATTGATTAGTGATGGTGGAACCAGAGGCAGAAGGCGTTTTTTGAAAATGTTTACTCAAACCTGTATGTTCCAGGCATTCATGGACGCGGCTCTAAATAATCCAGAGAGCTTGGCAGCGTTTGATAAAAATATTGAGTTTTATGGTTCAGATGAAAGTCGAGTTATTTTAAATAAGTTAATCGACTGGCATCGATAATTTTTGAAGACTGATTAAGTATACAGGGTTTGTGTGTAAGAAGTCTGGAAAAGTCTAATAATTTTCGACAAGGGGTTATCCAGCAAGCTGCATTCGAAAGATGTGTCAGAGGTAATGGCAGTTTTTGTCACATTGCTCAGCGCAACATATTGGGTCTTCAAAAAAACCCAATCAAAGATTGCTTTGATTACGAAAACGTACGTCGCATTATTGTTTCTTTATTGGTCAAAATTTTTGACATGACATTTTGACATTTAAGTTCATTGACCAAATTAAAGAAAAATATTGCTAAGACATACGTTCAAAAAACCATAGCAATCTTTGATTGTTTTTTTTTTTTTTAATTTTTTTGAAGGCCCGATAGCTTTCTAAACGTCTTCTATGTTTTGTTTCTTTTTAAAAATATTAGTTAGGACATTATACTGTCGCATCCTTGGTTTTTAATTAATTTCAAATATTTCGGAAATATTTACTGTGGAAGAAATCAGAATAAATTAAACGGAAATATTTAACAGTCACTGATTGCGGGTTCTCAAAACTAAAACTCAGATCACAATCAGTGACAACTGATTTTATAAAAATTAACTTATCACTTCTCGAAACGTAACAACACTCTTATTTAAACTGGACACAACCAAGCTCCTATCAAGGCCGGATTTACCCAATTCCTTAATTGTTAATATTTACTCCTTATTCTCAATTCTTAAAAAGTTCAATTTATTTAATATTGACTTTTTCGAAGATTAAGAATCAAGAACAAAAATTAAGAATTAAGGGATTGGGTAACCCCGGCCTAAGATTCACTTTAAATGTGTAATTGCGCGCTATTTATAGCCGACATCGTGCTCCGGATTTATCTAGGAAAACCCGATCACCTACTTAAATACAATAGAACTCCCCGAATAGGAGCCGTGGACGTAAACGACTCGATTCCTAGAATCCTGGTCGGGTTGTCGATGAATTCTGGTAGATTAATTCTCACATTGGTATGAAAATGGTTTGAGAAACTAATAAAGTTAATTAAAATGTACCAACCATTTTCCTTTAGATTAGGTGATTTAGATTTCGCTAAACTAACTAAACTAGAGATGCAAAACTGCCAAAAATCGAATTCAATACAATTGTGGTTTAAAAAGTAAATAAATGCGGCAATTCCACTCATGTATAAATAATCCCATTTGAAATGTCAAAAACCGTAGTTTGCTAGCGGATAAATAGGAAGGAAGAGAAAATATAACTGGATAAAAAAATCGGATAAATTTTCTGTTGATGCAATCGTTACCGTAGTAACAATTGCATATTAAATTGGTTTTTGAATCATCTGTCAAATTATTGTGTCACAAAAATTCACAAATTCGATCATTTTAGCTTAATAAAAGTGTATTTTTAAATAAAATTGGAAATATTTTCAACATGCACCGATTTGGGACAATTAATGATGATATAATTGATAGCGAAATAGAAAATTCAATTCCTGAGAACACAAAGAGAGTCTTTTTCTCTTTCTGTAGAGTCAAATTCTAAGGGGCAAAAATGTATTCTAATTGTACCTACCTTCAATAACTGTTCATTTTAAAAAGTATTTCCATATTTTATTTTGATTATGCATTCGTGGAATTGCCGTACTAAATACCATTCGAGCTCAGATTTTGAGCAGGATATTTTTTTGCTTGCTCTCTCATACTTACTTTCATGCAATTTATCTCGATCTGTTCCACAAAATCACTCGAGCTGCGCTCTCGTGATTTTGTCGGAACAGCTCTCGTTAAATTTCCTGAAAGTAAGTATTCGAGACCAAGCCAAAAAATATCCGGCTAAATCTGAGCTCTTATGGTATTACCTACGATTATTTTCTGCACTGAGAAATCTCTAAATCTGGCAATAATCCCTACATCAGTTTCGAATTCAGTTAGAGGACTAAACTCGACACTAAATTTCATTAAAATTACAGGCTTTTTTGGAAATAACTACCTTTTTTGGATATTATTGGCTGTTTCCAGAATTCTTACCATTCCTGTATAAGGTGTGATAAGGTAAATAATTGGATTATGCAGGGTTTTTCAAAATAGGGTCATTTTGATAAAAGTGACTCTCTTGATTCTAAGTTTCGTAACTGAATCATTTACTAGACACTAATTTAGCTGGAAAATCTCATCACCATTTTCATCTGAATAGGTGATAAACCAGTAAATTACTTTAAGGCTGTATTATAAGTATAGTATTTTGTTGTAAATCTAAAATTGTATTTCAATTGAGGTTACGTTTTCACACGAAATCTGCAATGCAAAATTACAGGTACTGTTTGCTTTATTGACGGTTTTTGTGATATCCTTTTTAAATTTAAATGTTTGAAAATATAGCAGGAAGTCTATCATTGTTACCTCTTGGAATAATATCGTTATTCACTTCTAAATAGTAATGGTTTATTTCAAACCAAATAAAATACAAATATTTATAAACTTGTATTCATATGACTTATGTATACTTAAGTTGAATTATTCTACTTTTTTAACGTTTTATTCAAATTTTAGGCCAAAAACTTGTTCCATCTTTTGTTCACTATCACCAATCCAATACGATTTTCGTCCCAGTAAATGTGCATATAATTGGCTTCATTTCCATTTTGGCAATAATATATTTCAAGACTGATAGAGATAGTCAAAAGATAATAGAGAAGCATTTGACAATAGCCATTTTTCAATTTGACATTGGATCTTTGTTAAAAAAATTATACCGGATGTACCTATGTGTGTTTTGGTATTGAAAATATACCATTTTTCAATTACACTTAAAAGAAGTAAATATGGTCATGATATTATTTTTACTTTGAATTTGAGTAAAGAACAGACCATTTTTGGCTGAGAACTATCTGCATGGAGGCATTTGATACAGTTGCCTAACAGACAATGTTACTGATCTACATTCTAGACCTTTTTCAGCCAAATATCTGTTGGTAAACTTAATAAGATTGAATGAAGGTAAATGTCTATTTAGTTACTTGAACATTTTGTGTTTCAAACACTGAAATCTTTCATTTATCTAGCATCCAATCACATTAGGAAATGTCTATTGTCAACTAAATTAATAACCAGGTGATTGTCAATACTTTTCGCCCAAGCCTATCAAACCTCTGTTTGAAGAGGCATAAAATAATTTCAAATACAAAAGATTTACATATTTATTTAAACGTTTGTGTAGCATAATAATACGAAGAGAGGGTCAAAAATTGCCCATTTTGGTCAATATAGAGCATTTCTCGATCTAATTTGTCATCATTTTGTCCTAAATCCTTGAGTACCTATTCAAAGTTTTTTGATAAGTACACATTTTATCGTGGAAGGGCAAAAAATATAGACAGTCACCGGAAATAAATTATGTATTTATTTATCAAATCAAATGTACCTACTCGTATGTTTAAGCAATATTTTATTCTTCCCCGTTCTGGGCGTGTATAGTTATTATTTTTTTGTTTTATGTTATTCAGCTACCCACACGTTATTTTATTATGAGGAAGGAGTAATAAAACTCACCAGGTCGGTACTCAATGTCTTATAAGCATGGCCTTGCGAGTAATGCCCGTTTGCACCAACCGTTTTAGGAAGTATCATCATGGCTTACTTAAAACCGTTGGTGCAAATAGCCATCAATTTTTTAAAGAACATTTCGTTATTGGTGTAAGCTAGGTAAAATAATTCTACAAAAATATATTTTTTCACTGGGTCGTCTTTATACTGAATATATACTGCTTTATATTAGACAAATCATTTAGATGTCCTACGTATTATTCGCAATGGATATTCTTGAAAAGTATAAAACTTAATAGATTCAAAATATTTTTTATGTGAAATTAATTGAAAGTATCATAATTTTTTTTAATTCTTGTTACTTCTCGTTGCTATACTGCGACTCCTAATGTTGTTTGTTCCACATTATTTAATAGTCACTGCTATGTAAAGTATTCTAATTTTGGTTATATGTATATACTTTCCTGTACAATTATTCAGATGTCCCTGTTATACAGACAGGATCAGGCTACTAGACACATAGGCTTCAATGGGATTAGTTGACTGATACCCATTTCACTGTAGGATTGTCACAAAGATCATTGATCGTCCCTGCAAGTTATTAAAATTTGTGTATCTTCGGCAGCTCGGCTATACTCGGCTTCGGCAGCACCGCCTTAATTCGCCGAAACCGGGTAGAAGCTAATTCGTCATACCACTCCCTATGTATCTAATAGGTTGGTCCAAAATTTTCCGCGATTTTTCACGTGTTTGTTTTCAAGTATGCTTTAAATCCAACAAAAAAACTACCTAAATTTGAGCTGATTGGTTTAGCAAGTGTCTCTCTTTCTTGGTGACTATCAATTACTACTTAATATTTTTGCATATTTAATGTTTTATTACTCTTTCAACTTAATAAATAATCGTCTATGGGTCATTTTTACACTTTACCTGTACCTATATGTTAATATTATATAGGATTATAACTATTTTAAAGTTATTTTATATCCATTTTATACATAATGTTGATCTATTTTTTTTGAATAAATATTTTTTTTTCATAGTTTTTTTATGTTTTATTTCTCATAATTTCCTATGCAATGTTGGAAGTTTGTCACCATCGCGAATAATGTGCTTCTAAAAATTGTGAAAACCGGCCGTTTCTGAATAAATTAACTAGTGTGCTTGGTTGATAATAATTGAAAACTGGAACTTTTTGATGTAAATCTCTTTTGCTCTCTAATAGCAAAAATCTCAAAGACCAAGACCAAAACAATACAAATTAAAACGTTGCAACGAGGTCGATAGCCTGAGGGCTCCACAAATCTACAGTTAAACCACTGATGTTTACAAACATATTGTATGAGTGTGGATAGCTTTAATAGACTCAAAAGCCAATCAGATAGGGTGTTCATTTGTACTGCTTTTCTTGCTTCAAGCAGATCTAAAGATTAGATCGGCGTCCACTTGTCCCTATTAAAAGCTCTTAAATAGCAGCTCCTAGCAGATCTTTCTGATTTTTCGAGCAGGTAGAGCAAGTACAAATGAACACTCGTAGAGATCCAAGTAGTTGTCATCCATATTAAATGGGTTAGGAAAAATTAACAAAATACAAAATTATTTCAATATTCCAAAAACTGCAGCAATTTGCTTTTCGCTTTAGCAGGGAAACAGAGGGTAGTGTGCCTTCCTTCTCAGGGACAGTATGCCTAATGAAATTGAAAACTATAGAGTGAAGAAATGTTACCTTTGTTAGCATACTACTTCACAAAAGAACGTTATTTATATTGTCAACTACTTAAGTAAATACCACTCTGTACATCAATTTTATTAAAGTGTGTCGACGAGTCAGCATTTATTTGGTATAGTGCGGCAGCTTAGCTAGGATATTTCAACATATTGTGCACTTTTTGATAAAGGCACCAAATTTGACACAGAGGTAGACCGATGTACTGTTAACAAATTTTGATATAGAGCCATCGACCAACTGCCATGCAACTGCCCTGAGGCGGCCGTAGCAACGATTTTTTAAAATGACCGCCAGTTCACATTCCGGAAGACAACGGAAGTAAGATAAAGTTTGCTACTGAAGCTTTTATTGAATGTTTACTTATTGTTTTGCAAAAGTGAAATTGGATGACGCATGTAGAACCGGCACAAAAAGTTACCCAGACCCTCAAAATTTCAATTATATTGGATGACGCGTTCCGAAGTTATCATCTGGGTAAAACGTCGTGGGACACCTTGTATATACAGGGGTCGTATTTTCGAATTCATTCGACTACATTTCGTACACGAAATTTGGCTGACAGCAATGTAAAATTAAATGGGGGGCATTCGAAACCGTATCAAATTTCGTATGCGAGAATATTCGAAAATAAGACCCCAGGGCGGGGCACGAAAAACTTCTCACCCAGGTTTTTTCAGATGTTAGGTGAATAATCAAAAATCGCTCGACCAATTTACTGGTATTTTTACCCGCCTTCCTGTCAACCCCTAAGCGAAGTGACATATACCCCCAAAATTTCAATTAGAAAGGGGGGTCGAGTGATACGTCATTTGATGAAAAGTTTTATTAAGATTATATTCTCGAAATTTTAGGTTGCGGCACTGCGGCAGGGTAAATAGCACTGAAGTAGTATAAGAAGGTTTGGAATGGGTTTTGCGTCATTCAAGTGATTCCAGAATGAGATAGCGCTAGTAAGGACAGAAAATCTATCGGATTTCTCACTCCATTACCGGCAGCTAAAGCTAGTGCAAAGTACCTCAATTGGGAAAAGTCTCCTCCCAGTGCACACTACTTTTAATGGGAAACGCCCTTCTGGGAGTATTGAACGCAGCAGACTAGGTCCAGTGCAAACTACCTTTATTGGGAAACGCCCTTCTGGACCTGCCTCAAACCCAGCTTCATCTTCACTCACGCCAAGTGTATAATAGCGTTCAACGGGCGCTCAGCAAAAGCCGCTTTTTGTCAGCTGCTGCCGATTTTTCTAAGCGGTAAAAGTTTAGGCTCACCAACTCAACTTATGCTATAGACATGCGCAGAAGTGTCGTGCATTCAGGAAATTTACTTCCGCTGTATCTCAACTATCCTCAACTGCTTTACGCTGCAAGTTAGCGGCTGAGTACTGGTGAACGTACCCAATTATTGACCTTCCAGTGTTTTCACGCCGCCGGTCATAGCTTTGTTCGAACACATCAAGAAACCGCCAATGTATACCGTCATGATTCTCCGCAAAGTCAAAAAAATTTGCGTAGAACCCGAAATTCGTATACAGAGTGGTTTCTAGACCATTCATGGGACGGTTTTTAACTTGTTGAAACAAACCTCATATCATTCCGGTTCATAAAAATATAAATATCGGCGTTATCAGTATAAAAACTTGCAAACACACTTTAGAGAATGCTGTAGATACTTCTCGAAATCTCCGTATTTTCAGTAAACGCTTCAAATATCTAGCTTTTGCTAGTAAGTAAAAGGAAAAGGTTATTCACTTCAATTTCAACAAAGCTATGACCGGCGGCGTGAAAACACTGGAAGGAGTCAATAATTGGGTACGTTCACCAGTACTCAGCCGCTAACTTGCAGCGTAAAGCAGTTGAGATACAGCGGAAGTAAATTTCATGAACGCACGACACTTCTGCGCATGTCTATAGCATAAGTTGAGTTGGTGAGCCTAAACTTTTACCGCTTAGAAAAATCGACAGCAGCTGACAAAAAGCGGCTTTTCCTGAGCGCCGCTGAACGCTATTGTTTCCCCTTTTCCCCCACTACTCAACTGTTGGCAACAGTTGAGTGCTGGTCAACGTAGGTGCCCATTTTAAACAAGTAGCGGTATCGAACGCCAGCGCTTCAAGGTGAAAATGAACAGTGATTCAGACAAATCTATAAGTGGTGTGTTGGAGTAGGAGAAAATCTTCAGCCAACCTTGACTTGACAGAATGTGATATTCTTTGGCACGACTTTCTTTTCTTTCGGCATAAAATTTCGCAGACCTCATATTCAAACGCAGCCATTTCTGCCCAACTTTGACACTTTTAAACACAACTAAAATGTTTAAGCCAAGGTTTACCAGGCTTGCAAAAATGTAAGCTTTTCTTTCATATAATTAGGAATTGCTTACTTTTATTCACACCATTTAAAGACAATGCTAAAAACTATAGCTTTTACTAATTGAATTTTTAGTTAAAGCTAATACTCATTTTTATTCACTGCAAAGTAAGTATTTGCTTAGAAAATGCAAGATAAAGCTTTTACTAAATTTTTATTCACACTACCCAATGTGCTGGAAAACTTCCGGCCGACTTTAGACGAAATAGCGTTTTAATAGCAATGCTTCAGAAACATGTTTAAAGTACGTATAATAACAGAAACCAAAACAAAGTATATTAAAAAGCACTAGAGAAATACGACGATTTCGTATTTAAATTTGAGTGATCGGTGAAGCGCTAAAAAAGTACTGCAAAATCGCACTACTTTGATGTGCGAATAGAAGGTATAGTAAAAGTATTATTTGAGTGCCCCTATTTTAACATTCATATTCGGTAATCGGTGAAGCGCCGAATAAGTCCTGCAAAATCGCACTTCTTTCATGTGCGAATGAAAGGAACTTTAAAAGTATTAATTGAGTGCACCCATTTTAAAATTTATACATTCAGCAATCGGCTGAAAAAGTACTGCAAAATCGCACTACTTTGATGTGCGAATATAAATTATTGCAAAAGTATTAATTTAGTGCACCCATTTCAACATTTATATTTGGTAATCGGTGAAGCGCTGAAAAAGTAGGTAGGTACATACTGCAAAATCTCACTAGGCTTTGATATGTGAATAGAAGGTATTCCAAAAGCATTAGATGAATAATTATTGCTGTAAAAGCTACGGGCAAACTGAGAATAATTTGTATTCCAATAGTAATTAATTAGTGCTTCAGAAATTACCTTCTTTTTAGGTACCTAGTAGATAGATAATATTATGTACCTTTAAACACAATCAAAGTGCTGCCAAAGCATTTCAGTCGTGCACCAAGCTTTGGTGATTTATACGTGCATGAGAAATACTACAAAAAATCATAGTTATGAATGTGCGTTCGATAGGTGCCATAATAACGTCAAACAGACACTTGAAAAAAACATGTAACTTTGTACTCTTTTAGTGCCTGAACGACGCGTCAATAAGGCAGGCAGGCGCAGGCTACCGCAAAATAGCAGACAAGGGACTCGTAAAACAGAACGCGGGGACCACCATTGCGGATTGCGGGCTGCGGCTTGCTTGTGCTACTTCTATTTCTTTTAAAATTTGGGTTTGTTGTTGAGTGAAAATGAGCACCAGCGGGTAAGTACCTACCAATTTAATTTAAAATTCCATTGTTGGTTGTTGTCGCCATATTTAATTTATTTAGGTGTACATATTTGTCTTTGCACGCTCACTTTTGAAATGGACCAATGATAAATAAATATAGGTAGCTACAAGACCACTAAAATAAATAAATGGGGTATTTTTTTTGTCAGTACCCCATTATTAAATTAGCTTTTAGTTACCTATACCCTATACCATAGTCCATAACCGATACCCGAACCGATCAATTTTATTTTTATGACATTGAAATGCTGTGTTGAATAAAAGGACTTCTCAGCAGGGTTGAGAAGCCCCTTCAACTAAACCATTTCCTTAACTACTCGTTATATCTTATCCTAATGATTAATGGTATTATTACCATTTTAATTTCACATTTTCGGAATAAAACTTCAAAATACACTCGGTAAAATATACTATATATTCTTACACATATTTCCTTCAATTTAATTTCATTTCTTAGTTGCTGTAAGGAAAAACCCTCTTTCCCGTAACACAACTGAACAGGAGGCTCATCGAGTGATCAAATATGTTTAAGAAATGCATGATCGGGATAGTGGCAGGGGAAAAAGGACGACCTAGAGGACGACATAATATCATAATTAT